TTTATTTTATCGATTTTCCATGCATCAATCCCTATCTCTCAGGATATTTTTATAGTATTGCAAAAGGATATATAGTCAACCGGTCGAGTTGACCACGCAATCAAAGGTCTGGAAGACCTCCTTTGTATCGAAAGTCACGTAATTTTAAAAACTGGATATGCTCAGGCAAGTAAATAACATTAACGTATTTTATTTCTTAAAATCTGGCGCAACTTGAAAGTGTATACCAACAAATAGAAGAAACGAACTGCGAGTCAAGCATTTAGGAACTATTATTTCGAATACCTCTATGGTATCGTGTCTACAGGTATTTAGCGGCATTTTATCATGTATAATTCAAATGATATTACTCCACAAGTGGCAGTGAATATCAGATTAATCTCAGAAATCCGAAATTACCTTCGAAATAATGTGAAAAGGATAATCGGCATTATTTTTGATTGAAAGATCGTGTTACTTGGTATTCTAATTACATGTAGATTGATCTACACTGTACATATATTCTAAATTACACAAATTTAGAAAGAAATCACGTTAACGTTACTGTAAACGGTTGATTAGCTAAATTTCAGAATAGAATATCAACTAATTCCATATGATTATATGGTATGAATATGAATCTTTTTTTGGTCGGTTTTTAAATTTGATTTCATATCAAAATTTTTTCAAAATGATCCAATTTTTAATGAGATCAGGTGAATCGGTATTTTTTTTCTTATAAAATGAATGCCTGCCTCTGAAGCTTTCGATATTAAAAAAAAAACTTAGACTCTAATAACTATATCCTTAAAAATCAACTAGATAAGAAATAAAAGTAATCATGGCCCGAATTTTTATTCTTGCGTCCATTTTAATGGCTACTTTTTCCATTATCAGTGCCATTCCTATTGCTGAGAGATCGTATCCTATTGCTGAAAGATCATACCCTATTGCTGAAAGATCATACCCTATCGCTGAAAGATCATACCCTATTGCTGAAAGGTCATACCCTATTGCTGAAAGATCGTACCCTATTGCTGAAAGGTCATACCCTATCGCTGAAAGGTCATATCCTATTGCTGAAAGGTCATACCCTATTGCTGAGAGCACAGAACCTATTGCTTTCTATCCTATTGCTGAGTGAAAAACCGATTAATAATCCACGGGGCATCCACTGAATCATATCAAACCTCCTAATCTGCTTGCGCATCCTTGCTGCGTGCTGAATTTTTTACAAGTTTTATTTAATTTATTTATAAATTAATTTTTTTCATAACTTATACATGTGCATCAGTAATTTATAAATTATTTATATTATTTATTATAATGATTGTCACTTTATCTAATTACAATATTATTTTATATATAAAGTAATAAAGCTTGTATTTATTTTAAAATTTTATTTTAGAGGTTGTGATTCAACGAACATTAGTAAAATGTCATAGTGATAATGTTTACATGCAGCATCCTAATTTATCCTTTGCGTATGAATACCTTTTATTCATAATCGAAGATATTCCCGAATGAAAAAACCAATTTTAATCAATTAAATTACAGTACAAACTTTGTAGTTATGGCGAAAAAAAGTTATGGATCGTGTGATTTTTATGGGATAAACCAATCGAATCGTAAGATATGTAATGTTAATAGCGTTTTGGTCAAGGTTAGTATTAGATTCAGAGTTAAGATTATATTGTGGCGCGAGTATATATAGTAAAT